AAATATGGACATACAATTCAAGTAGCAATGTTTAAATATTCCCACACAGGTAATAAGAATATGTGACCCTATTCTGGGTGTGCCATAAAGAGTGCACTATTGATATAGCAAATATATATACCTAATAAAGTGCATACATGCAGAAAAAAGTGCAAGTAATTATTAATGTGAAAATGTGCATAAAATATAAAGTGCAACATAGATATATAAGAAATGATTAATCTATATATTCAATTGTATCACACACGTACAAAAAATTGGACTATTTGTATATAAAAAAAAATGCTGCTCCAAAAAGAGGCGTTTTGGATACACCAACTGAATACAGTGTCTTCTTGGGGACTCAATGAAAATGTTACCTATCATTCTTTTCTATAGGGATTTCCAGCTAGTCAATATTTTAATTCAGTGATAGTATTATCCTCAGCGATATATTAGTAGTATTAATTTTTTTATATACAAATAGTCCAATTTTTTGTATGTTTGTGATACAATTGAATATATAGATGAATCGCTTCTTATATATTTATGTTGCACTTTATATTTTATGCACATTTTCACTTTAATAATTACTTGCACTTTTTTTCTTCATGTATGCACTTTATTAGGTATATATATTTGCTATATCAATAGTGCACTCTTTATGGCACACCCAGCATAGGGTCACATATTCTTATTCAACTGCAATTTGCATTTTACAAATTTATTGCACCGACACATATTATATACCATTTTTTAAAGGACAAAAAAAAAAAATACAAAATACAGAAAAATGCAAAAAAAAAAACAAATTGTGTTTTTTTTACAGTTTTTGCAATAATAATGTGTGCACAATTAGTGCAGGTTAAGGAAAGCAATTTAAAAAAAAATTAATTCAGTTGTTCTGATTTACAGAATATATAATGTGTCTGAGATTTTAAGTTTTTTTTGGTAGTTACATGTCACAAAGCACAAGGAGTAAACTAAACCTTCAATGTGGAGCGATTTTAGAATTTGGTAAGTTTGTCTTGTAAGCTTAATAGCCATAAAAGAAAACAAAATTGTCATACAAAAGTGTATATTTATATAAAGTAGACATCACGGGCTATTTACCTAAGGTTGTTTTGACACTTTCTACGTAGCCATTTCACTGCCAACCTCTGCTAAATATTGGAGTAAAATTGTGTTCTTTTTGGTTTTTGGCACACAAACTTATAACAGAGAAATTCTCGTGTATATTTTGTAAAGTTGGTGTGTACTATTCCTGTACAAAGTTTTATTTTGTGTTCAGTTACATCTGCTGAGTAAAATGACACCCCCATTGTATGTCTTTTGCACTATTTCGTGAAGTTACAGTGCCATACAGGATACCTGTCCTTTTCAGTATTCACAGTAGAATTTTGAGAGACGGATTTAATGAGGCTATGCTTCTATTTGGGGTATAATAGTAGTTTGACTGTTCAAAAAAAAACCACAAAGGCCTACCATTTGTAAAAGTGGACACTCCAGGGTATTTCATAAGGTGCATATTGTGCCTTAACATGCCCCCATTTTTTTCACCGATATATGCCAAAGTATGTGATAAAAAATAATTTTGTGCATTTTTTACATATGGATTGCATTTTTGCTGGGCATTTTGTATATTTCATATGTGCCACTAAGTTCAAACCCCCCAAATTATGCTCAGCTAAGTCTTCTGAGTAAAAGGACACCCCCATTGTATGTCTTGGCACTATTTCGTGAAGCTACAGTGCCATATAGGAGACCTGTCCTTTTCAGTATTCACAGTAGAATTTGGAGAGACAGATTTAATGAGCCTATGCTTCCATTTGGGGTATAATAGTAGTTTGACTGTTCAAAAAACACCCACAAAGGCCTACCATTTGTAAACGTAGACACTCCAGGGTATCTCATAAGGTGCCTATTGTGCCTTAACATGCCCCCATTTTTTTACCAATATATGCCAAATTATGTGATAAAAAATAATTTTGTGCATTTTTTACATACGGATTGCATTTTCTGCTGGGCGTTTTGTAGATTTCATATGTGCCACTAAGTTCAAACCTCCCAAATTATGCTCAGCTAAGTCTTCTGAGTAAAAAGACACCCCCAATGAATGTCTTTGGCACTATTTTGTGAAGCTACAGTGCCATATAGGAGACCATTCTGTTTTTTTCTAACATTGAAGTTTTACGCTGTGTCCATGTTCCAATTTGGAGTAGTTTAGACAGTTGGTTATTGAAACTTTCCCACAAACACATACTATTTATTAAAGAATACACCCTGGGGTAATTCAAAAGGCATATTTTGAACCTTGGCGTGGGATAATTTTTTTCTCTTGTTTGTTCCAGGTGTAGTGGTAATGAGCGTTTTTAAAATGTATTTTTTTACTTTTTTAAACTTTTTTACTTTTAAAAACTAGTTTTTAAACTTTTGTTTTGCTTATTATTTTTTTTAAAACTTTCCTAAACTTTCTTAAAACTTTTTTACAGATTTAACATTTTTCTAAGCTTTTTTTTTTTTTTTTACCGTTAACCCCCAATTAGCAGTAAGCAGCACTAACAGTAAATTCCCCATTTTCCCATAACTCCCACCCACCCCAGCTAGCAAAATATAGAGTTATAAAAAATTTAAATTAATTAATTAAATAAATTGAACCCCTGAGAGTTAAAAAATAAATATAATTTGATCCTCAGGGTTTAAAAAAATTTGATCACAGTATAATACTGTGATTTGTATTTGATCACTGTAGGCAGTGATCGACTGGCAGGGAAGGGGTTAATTTTAATTTGGACCTGGTAAAGGGGTTGTTTTTTTATTTTTTACTTAAACGTTATTAAAACTTTTTAAAGTTTATTTTAAAACTTTTTTTAACCTTAACCCCTAGTTAGCCTAATGGCAAATCCCTAAATTCCCCACTAACTTCCACCCACCCCAGCTAGCTAAATATATAATTTTAAAATATTTAAATTAATTAATTAAATAAATTTAACCCCTGAGGGTTAAAAAAAAAGAATTAACCCTCAGAGGTTAAAAAAAAAAAAAAAATCAGATCATAGTAAAATGTAATCCCTGCCAATTGATCACTGTAGTCAGTGATCAATTGGCAGGGAAGGGGTTATTTTTTTTATTACAATGGGTAAAGGGGGGTGGGACTTTAAACTAACTTTATTTTATTTCCAGCAGGGGGCAGGATCATCACTGTCCCGGCTCCCTGCACTTCACACAGAACCAGGAAGTGCAGGGAGGCGGAAGGTAAGTATACTGAGCACATGTGCTCGCTCTGACATGCGGTCAGAGCGAGCACATGTGCTGGGCAGCCTGATCGGGTGCTCCTGGTCTGCCTCTAATACAGAGGCATACCGGAGCACCATTAACCCCGCGATCACCGCAACAGCGGCGATCCAGAGTTAATTTTACCGCGTGACAGACGAGGTCCGTCACTCGTCATTAAGGGTCTCCCCTCTGTGACGGACCTCGTCCGTCACTTGTCCTGAAGGGGTTAAACATTGCTACTTGAATTGTATGTCCATATTTATAGTTATGCTTCTATTAAGATATGCACTATCACACTGGCAAAAGGAATATGCCTTACAAAGTATCACCCCATATGGTATATTCACTATATTTCTTATGTCATTTTTTATTAGAATCTTTTATATAAACCCGTTCACAACATTAACTTGTTTTTAGGGTTTCCTTGGCGACAGGGTTTCCCGGCCATCCATCACGTTAGGCATGCACAATAATATGACAGGAGGTGGGGCACGCATTATGGTGCGCACGCACACCCGGAAGTACACTTGGTGTCGGTGGGACGTGGAAATTATTGATGGTATATATTGCTTGTATGTGCACTGTATTTTGTTGTCCTGTTGTGTTTGACCCTGTGGAAGGTCCCGAGCAGGGATCGAAACGTTGGTCGTTATTTTTAATTTGTCATAATAAATTGAAGTTTTAAGTCCGGAGAGCAGCCTCCCTTACTGGATTTTCTATCTATTGGAGCCTTGGTTTTGTGCCCAGCAGCGGTATACTCTAAACATGAGTACAGGGGATTTATATATATATGTTGGAAGGCCATTTGGCCTGAATTTGTGGAAGGAGTTATGATCCTCTATAAACCCTATATAAACCTACTTACCTTTGTCGTGCAAGCTGTTTGTCTCCATAGTTACCTGCACTTCCGGTTCGTCATTCCCGCCAAGTCCTGTCTCAAGCAGTCTCCAGCAAGCAGTCTGTTGCCAGCAGCTCCTACCTCCGTCTTCTGTGCCAATCCACCGGCTTCTACCCGACCTCGCCACTCGCTACCCAGCCTCCGGTCACAAGACCAGCACATCCACATAAGCATAAACGTTCAGGCCTAAAAATGCGGGGATAGGCTCTCTTCATTACTTACCCATTTGTGCTCTTACTGCGTTCGTGTACTTCTGCGTTCGTGCGGCTAACAGCCGACCGCAGAGTACAGACTCCTGTCACTTACATTTTTGTATAAACAAACTACCGACCGCACTAAACAAACTTACGTTCGACTATTTTCATCCGTTCGTTCGGTCGTTCAGCCGGACACACATACATTGGCTTTCGTTTTCAAATTTGTTTTTATGCTCCATTTAACCGAACACAGGAGTTATGGGACTCCTATCTTTTACAGGGTAAATCTTCTTAAAGCACAGTTTGACCACTTTTCTCTTATCAGTTACGTTTCAGAAAATACACCTCCAGGCATTATCATACCCTGCTGGGACTTAGGCTATTGTATTTTCCCTTATGTATTAGTCTTCTATGCAACTAAGATCTCTCCGCTCATAGGTTAAGCCTTACGGTCCTTTTTCACCAGGCTCTTTACAGACCATTAGCATGATTTAAAACCTTTGTTCCTTAAAAGTTCTTATATACTGGTCCCTTACACTTAGACTGCATATGTTTTTTGGGTTTTACTACAAAGCTCCAAGAAGAGGTGCTGAGTAGCCAGCATTTCTGTAACAGGTAAGAAGGTTTACCATTTTACGTTCTTCCTTGAGGCCTCATTCAGCCTCCACGGCCTTATACTGCTCCCCACCTCCCAAAGTGGGTTCTAAACTTCAAACGGGCCAGATCTGAGATTCCTCACGGCGAGTAAACATCAATCACACAAACCTACACCACTTTGCTACTACTTATACTTTGATTCAAACAAAGTTGCAATAAGAGGTACCCAGTATCGCGCATTTCGGTAACAGGTAAGAAAGTTCACCATTTTACGTTTTCCCTTGAGGTCTCATTCAGCCTCCACGGCCTCATACAGCCCCTCACCTCTCAAAGTGGGTTCTAAACTTGGAGACGTACCTGGTCTAAGATTCCTCACAAATGTCAACAACAATCTCATAATCATAATCCACCGTATTACTACTATATTTAACAGTATATGTTTTTTCATTTATTTCTACATATCATTACTTAGACCTGTGTCATTACCGCAGCTCGCCAAGTCCTACGCCATCGACAACCTACAGGCTACCTGGTTCCCTGCTTTGCAATATCAGGTATTGGTAATCTTACTCACTACAATTACGTTTCTCCTTAAGCCCTCACTTCACCTTCATATCATTCAAATAAAATTCACATTGTGGGGCCTTAGCTATCCTAAGTAATACTACTGTCCCACAAGGTCTACACCCCACCTCATACACGGAGGTTTCAGCCCCATGACCAAATCATAGTTAGACACCTAGCTCGCCCTTATTTTGGGCTACAGCTAGGGCCTTCCAAGTCACGGCCACACGTTTTGAATCTCTTACAGTCACGAGAGGCTGACATCCTGCCACCACGTTCTAGTGGCCAAAAAATTCCCTCGGCCCAAATCATAGGTAGAGCCTCTCTCCGCCACTTGGCACTAGCAAGGCCTCACCTGTCACTTGGTTCTAGGTAAATTCTTCGCCTCAGCACTAGCTAGCAGGCCAGTTCTCCGAAGGTCTCATCCACACCTCTAAGACACATTACTTATCCAAATCATAATTTCTTTTTCAGAATGTCACAAGTATCCATCCCAATAATCGGTCTGCTGTTGTATGGAATACCCAGCACGCCAATCTGGCCTGGGTCTCCAAAGGAATCCCTCACCACTTCTACCCTCAGTTACCTGGGATTCTGGTACATTCCAAAAATATCAGCAGAGCCCCAGCCACTGCCAGTAAGGCAGAACTACACAGGCTCACGACGGCTCAGACCAACGTTCCCAGGCCCGGCGCTAGTTCACAAGGGCCGTCAGCTTTCTCCTCAGAGTCCAATCAGGAGACCCCGGTCGCTATCCTGGCCAGCCTCCAAATGATTACCAGGCTGATAAATGAAATCGGCTATAGCCACACCAGGTGTGTCTTTAAGCCCGGCAGGCCATCACCTGGCAATCTCGGTCATACAGTCGGGCTTACCCCGTCCCCCACCAACCACTATCACTACTCCACCCGTCTCACCGGCCCACTCTGTTCCAATTTCCACGGAGAAGGTAATTCTCGTTGGAAAGCACGTTAAACTAACATCACTACTTAACTTCACAAGACACCCTTCATTAGTAAGGTTACATTCATGGTGACATTTCAGTAGTCCTAAACAGCTAGATCACGACTTAACAAAGCTTTCCATTCCTATGTTTATCATTGCTTCTCGCATAGAGTCAGCCACTTCCACTTCTCACCACTCCTTCACCCCACGCACTAGTCAGGGAGGCGGCCAGAGGGGCTAGCCGGGCTGACCATTTAATTTCTGGGGAAGGCTCGGGTGCACTATTCTTTGATATGGGGATATGCTATTTCACAACATGCAGGGTTTTGCACATCTGCTCCAGAACCCACACCTAATCCACATACGTAGACCGTCTGTCACATAAGATATGCCCAACTATGGAATACCATCTGCATTTACATCCAGCTATGCCGGATTTCTCAGAGGGGTTCACACGGGCCTTATCGCCATTCCCACAGGTACACTCGTATGCCCTATCCTATTATCTGCACCCATTGACCCTCTTACGGTGGACCACCTTCTGTCCACAGCAGTCATACGCTGCTTTCACGAACGTAGCCATTCACTATACCCTATAATACTGATCATAGACCTCTTCCACACTGCACTCTACATCCATTCCCAGCATCAAACTCCCTCATTCCCACAATGAAATTCTCACTGCACTACGAAAATCAACCATGCCATACAAGCTATCACTTCAGTAAGTAGTAAGGCTTGGTTGAGCAACACCTTTAATCTACTACCTATTCAACCTTCACTATGGCACCTGGGCTACGTTCCGGTGGCCATCCTCACTAACCATTTTGTGGCTGTTTTACAGGCTGACTTGGCTGGCAGCAACCTCTCAGCTCTTTTTAGTCTGCCTTTATGTTCCTGGCATCCACAACACAGCCGCTGACGCTCTTTCACGCTCAGTTCAAGGTCTTCTTTCAGGCACCCCCTACGACCCACTACGTACCATCCAGGATACCACCATTTCATGAGCTAATCTTGGACTGAGCACACAATTACACCTCGTACAGTTACGCACGCTTCACGCAGTTTCACGACTACTCTATCACTCACACTAGGGCTTTGTATATTGTACCATGACACAAGCAGAGTTTACTTGATTCATGACTCTTGCAGTTAAACTATTGTAATTTTTGCCTCTTCCTCTAAATCTACAAATCAAACATCTTATTTATACCTCCTATGCTGTCACTCCATTTTTTACGTATCCAAGGTAAGCCACATACTATAAGTACTAATCCATTACTTCATGTCTAAACCTTTCATTAAGGTAAGCTACATCATGGCTTACTTCGCTGGTCCCTCTTTTTCGCAAAAACGCTGCATCAGCAGCTTCAAGCTCTTACACCCCAGTCTACATCACTAAGTGAAGGGGCCACAGGTAATCCTCAGCTCAGTTACATATATACCTCAATCAGAGTAAAACTCCTTACACGCTTTCAGTACACAAGCTGTATAAACTTGCAATAAAGTGTGTTTTTCTTTGAATCCTATTTTGCCCTCTTTGCTTCTCCTTCTACATTCCATTACATAATAGATAAATTCCGAGCACAAGTTGGAAGGCCATTTGGCCTGAATTTGTGGGAGGAGTTATGATCCTATATAAACCCTACCCCCCTACTTACCTTTGTTGTGCAAGCTGTTTGTCCCCATCCACCTACACCCATATATATTAACAATTCACCTTGTGGGCCCTCTTTTACAGGCCTACTCGTACGTTGGTTTCGGCACACCTCAACCAACTTTGCTTCTCCTTCTACATTCCATTACTTATTAGATAAATTCCAGAGCACAAATATATATACCCTATATCTAAACCTGTATCTTTTCATGGGAGGTACTGTTGTCATGAATGAACACAAATAAATGTGTTTTAGAGCAGGTAAAGATATATGACAATGCTATCATCAGTGAAAAGTGTGGCCAGGGTTTGTGACTAAGTGGCTACTAGACATTTTGAATACAGTGGCTTGTCTAGTTTTGCACATGATGGGGGTAATTTTCATTCCTTGGCTGCCATACAGTCTCAAGAAAATCAATATTGCAAACTGGAATGTGTAAAAGCTGAATGTTTTTCTATCTTACAAACATTAAATAATATGCTGAAACGAAATATGCATTTAACCCCTTAAGGGCGGAGCCAAATGTACACGTTGTGAACAAAACAAAATGTAAATAAAACCTGGCATTTGTGCTACATGTCTGTCACCTCTTTCATATTAAATGCACCCACCCTTATTATATATTATTTTATTCAGGAGAAACAAGGCTTTCATTTAATATCAAATATTTAGCTATGAAACATAATTTTATTTTTTTAGTTCTACATGACATTTTAACTGTCAATGTCATAATAATGTTTGCTTTTACTGCAATAAAATACACATATTTGTATTCAGCGATGTCTCACGTGTAAAACAGTACCCCCTATGTGCAGGTTTTATAGCATTTTGGGAAGTTACAGGGTCAAATATAGCACGTTACATTTGAAATTGAAATTCGCCAGATTGGTTACGATGCCTTTGGGACTTTATAGTAGCCCAGGAATTAAATTTACACCGATAATGGCATACCATTTGCAATAGTAGACAACCCAAGGTATTGCAAATGGGGTATGTCCAGTCTTTGTTAGTAGCCATTTGGTCACAAACACTGGCCAAAGTTAGCGTTAGTATTTGTTTGTGTGTGAAAAATGCAAAAAACGCCAATTTTGGCCAGTGTTTGTGACTAAGTGGCTACTAAAAAAGACTGGACATACCCTGTTTGCAATACCTTGGGTTGTCTAATATTGCAAATGGTATGCCATCATAGGGGTAATTTTCATTCTTGGGCTACCATAGGGTCTCAAAGGCAACGTAACCAATCTGGCGAATTTTAATGTGAAAAAAATGAAACGCAAGCCTTATATTTGACACTGTAACTTTTGAAAACACCATAAAACCTGTACATGAGGGGTACTGTTGTACTCGGGAGACTTCGCTGAACACATATTTGTGTTTCAAAACAGTAAAAGGTATCACAGCAATAATATTGTCCGTGTAATGCTGTTTGTGCGTGAAAAATGCAAAAAAACTTCACTTTTACTGGCGATATCATCGTTGTAATACATTTTACTGTTTTGAAACACTAATATTTGTGCTCAGCGAAGTCCCCTGAGTAGAACAGTACCCCCCATGTACAGGTTGTATGGTGTCTTGGAAAGTTATAGGGTTAAATATAGTGCTAGCAAATTAAATTCCCTTTACTTTCGGCATGGGTTGTCAGGCAGGTCCCGCTAATTGTAATTAATTAAGATACCCAATTATGTAAAAATATTACAGAAATATATATGTAGAATTAATATATGTATATATATACGTATGTGAATATATATAATTTTTAAAAAATATTTTTATTTATATATAGGTATATATATAGTGATATATACGTATATATTTATGTATATAGATATATATATTATTTAGTTTACGTGTATTTTGATATAAATATATATATAATATCACAATACAGTTAGAGCTAAATAAATACACATCTATATATTTTTAATTATTTATTTTTATTTATTTTTTATTTTATTTTTTAACGTATTTACATATTTAATTTTTTATATTATATATAAATATATATAACAATAATTATATATATATTTAATCAGTATCAGTCTACGTGTAATTTGATATTAATATATATATATATATATATATATATTATATATATATTAATAGTAAAATACACCTAGACAGTGTATGTGTTTGTATGTATATGTGTATATATATATTTATATAATATATATATATATATATATATATATATATATATATATATATATATATATATATATATATATATGTAGTATATATATATGATCTAAGTATATATTATTATTTTTTTACACTGATTAACTTTTTTTTATTTTATTTTCAGCCAGCAGGGGGACCACCTGTCATTACAGGCAGCCCCCCTGCTGGTAATGCAGGAGGCAGCCTACCCGGCCATGTGATTGTGAGGTCCTCACAAGGACCTTACTCTCACATGGCCGGGGGGAGCTTCAGGAGGAAGATTTGCCGCGGGGGGGCTCCCTGGGACTCCCCCCAACTGCGATCGCCGGCATGGGACTGCTGGCGACCGGGTAAGTAAGAAAAGACCGGAGGGCATACTATTACGCCCGGCGGCATTTAGAGCCACCTAAAATAGGGCGTAATAGTACGCCCTCCGGTCTTAAGGGGTTAAACATTACTTCCCAAGACACCCCAAATACCTTTTTTGCAAACTGCTTAGTAGTGAAGGGGTTAAAATAAAAACTTTACTTGCACACCATCTCAAATCCCTATATACATTTAAATAACGTGTTTCATGCTGCTGAAAAGGCCATTAAACTGAGCCGTCCAGGTAAATCGCTTGGTGAGCCCTACATTAAAAATTCACCTTGCTGCTTTCAGTTAAAAGGCAAAATCTCTGAGACAAAACGGGATATTCTTTTGATCCCACACACTTATTAACTATAGTGTGGCTGTTTAATACAAAAGCAAAATAAAACCCTTAGGATTTATCTAACCTTACCATATATAATGAATAATTTATCAAACCCATATCACATTCCTTATTCCAGATCCCCAGAGCTCGATGTAATGACTATTGTCCTCCTGGAACCAGGAAAGCCCCCAATGGAGGATATCACACCTGCTGCTATGACTGTATTCCATGTAATAATGGGGAATTTTCCAATGTAACAGGTATGGTGGGGTATTATGCAAAGAGGAGCTTTATAACAGGTTTAATAAAGTTATAATCAGTAAGATGCTTTATTGCAGGGATGATGTTATACACAATAAGAAGCTGTATGGCAGGTATAATGTTAAACACAGTGAGTATCACACAGTGTCCTTTCTTATTCTCCCACCATTTGCTAGTGAGTGTTGGGTTAAAACAAATAAACCATAAGGCTGTACCCTGTAGCAGTGCTGCAGTACTGAGAATTAATATCTCTGCTGTAATCCTCTGGACCTGGAAGGGAAGCACTGGTTAGTGAATATAGCCCATTCCACCAATAACAGGACGACACACAATTCTGGCAGTCAACTGATTTTTATTAGCCCACACACGGCTTTTTATGCACAGCCCCATAGTGTGGGGTCTCCAGGACAAGTTTATAGGGAATTTTCCCAAGATCCACTGGGAATGAAAGATAATTGAGCTGGGAATTTTAGATAACTCAATTATCTCTGTTACATGAAATACATAAAATGTTATTGTGACAAACTCCCCTTTTCAAGTGAGTTTGCACAAGTTCCTGGAGGAACCTGCTTGTCAGCCTCCTGCCCACAGACTATGGACCCTGTAAAATGTAATGTAAAAGTCTCCATTTGTGTATTTGGACTATATGGTTCAGGGGCCGAACAGCTGCATGAACCACCCTGGAGCTTGTAAAGCCTAATTGCTACTTTGTAGCAATTTCCACCTCAGTGTTCTAAGTGTTCGTCTGGGTGGCCACAATTTGAAACGTTCATACGAACAAGGGGAACAAGCTCCAGGGTAAGACTATTGACTATGTTCGGTAGTTTGTTCATTTTTCAACTATAGAACTAGACCGACGGCAAGCCCTGATTATTTGGAACTGCTTTGTGCATGGGTCGGTCAAATTATGACTTCCAGGAAATTCCTGAACCCCTGAACAGATCTGGGTGATTTTTGTAGATGTTAATCACCCAAAACAGGGCTATCTGGGGATGTAAATTTTTAACATATTTGTGTGACAGATCCATCTGTATAGACTAAGATTCCTGGTTCGTCTGTTTTGCCTCCTTTTGTGGAATTACCTGTCCGTATGCCCCTGTTCGTTTATTTGACTTTTCTACCGAATGAACTTACCGAACGGCCACCCAGAAAAGAAGTGTGCTGCTGGTTAACCTCTTGATCCAAATTAGAACGTTGTGGTTAACTGCAGACACCTCACAATTATAACTGAATACAGGGTGGTCGTCGTTCGTATGTCGACCACGAAGCGGCGGCCATTTTAAAACAGGCAAAAGTCCAGCGGTGCTCGGCACGGATTGTATGGAACTGAAAACAGACACCTTTTCTGCCGAACACCGCTAAAACCACCGACCTCCCTTCTCCATCGACCAAGGCATGCGAACACCGGCCGTTCGGGAGTTTGAACCGCACGAATGGACTTAACCCAGATAGCCTTCCCATGGAGTCAATCGCATACCGAAAGACTGTACAAGACTTTGACTCCATGGCGATTGAACTGTGCATATGGGATCTTAGCGCTATTCGCCAATGATATGCACTCAGATCCAGGTTATCTGGGGATACGTTACACGAATGGGAAATGTTCGGTAGTTGTCAAGTTATATATTTTTATGTGTTTTTTGGGTCACATCTAAAATGGCGATTTGCCTCTGTCCTGGGAGATAATTTAATAACTTCTCAATTATCCCCAGGGCAGAGGGGAGGAAACCATGATGTGCCTGTGTGTCCTGAAATGCTGTATGTCCATCTGCCATTACAGTCTCCCATTTGGTCCCCTAGGGGAGTGTCCACCAAGTGGGAGACCTGCATAAATACGGGCGGGTAGCCCACAGTAAACCCAGTTCATGTTTTACCCTCAAGACGGAGCTTGGTCTCGTTATTGGAGGGGAATTTACTACATGAATAGCGACTGCCGGATGGAAGTATTAGCCGCTTGGGAGATATATGGTTTTGGCTGTTAGCGGCGATTCTGGAGTTTACTGATCGTGAAGAGATCGGGAGATTGGAGCATTCCCCTGCTTGCAGTTCGTATGATTGGAGTTGGTACGAATGTAGCCTGCATTATGGTGAGAGAGGAGGATTAACCAAACGGCGGTTTTATTATTTGATGCTGAGAGTGCCGTTACAATTTGTATGTATTTTTAAGGTATTTTTGGGGTGTTTGGGAAATGTGGTTTTTTTTTGTGCTTGGAGATAATTGAGTTTAATACAGTGTTTTACTCAATTATTTCCCAGGCACAGGGGAGGTATTGTTTTGTTTTGTATGGGAGTGTCCTGGACCTAAAAACCAATGTAATCATATGTATTTTTGTACTGTAGTCTACTCTCAGGTCCAGTTGGGAGTGCCCATTGCATGGGGACCTGCATATAAGGCCAGTTGTGGCTGCCATTAAACGTATTCCAGCTTGTACTCCCAGAACTATGTGTTATCTGGTTACTGGTAGGGGAAAGGGCTATTCTTTAATCACTGTTCCAGTGTGGAGGATTCAACGTGGAAAGTCCTTGTAAGGACTAGAGCTCCCAGTCGTCCAGTGCCTGTGGATGTCTAGAGTGAATCCCCAAGTTGGATCCAGGAGGGAGCGGTTCCAGGACACCACTCAAGCCACAACGACTGTGAGCAGAAGTGCTGTGGTTTGTCCCCTGTTCCAGCTAGGAAACAGTCCTTGGCGGAGGTACGCAGTTCCAAGATACGTTTGACAATGTTTATTGGGCACACAGCTTTTTATGCACGGACCCCCACAGGGGGTCTCAATTCAGCCCAACACAAAACACATACATGAGGGAGCTGGGGAACAGATAACCATCTCCCACTCTGGGAGATACTAACAGGACACAGGGACACGCAGAACTACACTATATATACGGGGGGTGGAATTTGGGGCTCATTCCCCCGGGATGGGAAGGGGGTACAGGGTTACATTTCATTTGGATAAAGAAATTGGATAATGGATATCAGACGAAATGGCTTGAACCAAATTGCTCAATCAGCGTAGGGGGAGGAAGAAAGGGTGCGAAACTCGACTACACCAATCCGTGCTTAAGGAGGATAGGGGTTTCGCGGCCCAATCAAAAGATAGTGCGCGAAACCCGATGTCACCAATCCGCTGAAAGGCACGAATAGAATCAGCGTCCAGGGGCGGAAGGGGTTTCACCACCCAATCCGATGGAAGGGCGCAAAACCCTGTTTGAACAAGTGCTCCTTCTCGGATTGGTCGCTCACACCCTGCGGCGACCAATCAGTGCTTTACTCGTGCCGGCCAACCAGGAGAGTGGTGCAAACCCAGTTTAAATGGGGGGTCCCTCTCCCATTGGTCGGAACGAACTTTCATGCGGCCAGCAGAAACCCTCACAGCCCCAGGGACTCTCTCTGCTGGCATGCATCCCTCTCTCTGTTGAATATCCCCATGCAGGTATCCACCGGGGAGAGTGCTCTCCTGAGTAGCCAAGAGTGTAGCCTCGTAGCTCCCAGGTAAGGGACAGAGAAGAGGAATTATAGCAACCTTAAGGAGCGGGTAGGACAAGGAAAAGGGAGGAGTGATTATAGCTCTGTTGGGAGTGGGTAGGATGATCCATGACACCGGGATTGAAGATAGTGTACACAGGCCGGTTCGAAAGGTGAATGCTCCCCCAGGTGGTCATTCGGGAATATGAACCGGCGGCCACCCAGGGGAAGCACGCGCAGCTCATTTTCCTGCGGTCTGTTGTTTCACACCTCGCTAACGTTCTAATTGGAGTATCAGGGTGGTCCAGCACTGTTCGGGAGATTAATTTTCCCCCTTGTGGACGTTCGGTAATACAAACCGGCAGCCACTCAGGGGAAGCAAGCACCGCTTGTTTACTTGCAGTCTGTAGTTTTCACACCTCGTTAGTAAGGTGTGAACATTCTAAGTAAACGTTTTAACTGAGGTGCCGGGGTGGTCCGGCGCACAGGGCTCCGTGCACCGGAGCGCCCCCAGTCGGTCAAAAGGTGTGTTGCAGGATTTTATAGTCAAAACTACAGAAAGAGGAATAGGAAAGAGAGGAAACACATATTCTAGGAGGGCACAGTCACACATAAGCACAATTCACAGTTTAGGCAATCTCGCCACAGGGGAGACTACGATGACCCTGATTTACATAGAAACATAGAATAGAAACATAGAATGTGATGGCAGATAAGAACCATTTGGCCCATCTAGTCTGCCCAATTTTCTAAAATGCTTTAATTAGTCTCTTATATCTAAGAGAGCCTTATGTCTATCCCATGCATCCTTAAACTCCTTCACTGTATTAACATTTACCACTTCAGCTGGAAGGCTATTCCATGCATCCACTACCCTCTCAGTAAAGTAATACTTCCTGATTTTATTTTTGCCCCTCTAATTTAAGACTATGTCCTCTTGTTGTGGTAGTTTTTCTTCTTTTAAAGATGGTCTCCTCCTTTACTGTGTTGATTCCCTTTATGTATTTAAATGTTTCTATCATATCCCCCCTGTCTCGTCTTTCCTCCAAGCTATGCATGTTAAGATCCTTTAACCTTTCCTGGTAAGTTTTATCCTGCAATCCATGAACCAGTTTAGCAGTGGGAGGCTTTTGAAACTAGTCTGGGGTTTGGAGAATCCAACATTGCCCGCTTCTTGTCCATCCGAGCTGAGCGGGCAGACAACTGGGACCTTACTGAGATCGCTGCCATATAGCCAGACTTGTCTTTTCTGGCCAACCTGGAGTGGGAACTAGAACAGGATTATGTTTGCCTATTCCAACAGGTAATGTCGCCTGTCTTCGAAATAATGGGGTTTATGAACTGTGCAACACTGGGAGAGTTGAGTTTCGTCCCTCCTCCCCAGCAGCTGTGCCCATCATCAAGAGATAAGGCACCTGGCCTGGATGGTGCAGATGGATCCATGGTCTCTGTGCCTGCCAAGCAGGAAAGCAGGGTGGCTGACCCAGACCTGCCACACTCCAGTTGGGGAGAGCTGACTGCTGTACCCCCTGTTTTACTACCAGTTCCAGAAACAGGGGACCTCATAGACCGGTCTTGGGAAGACCCCCAGTTGGCAGATGGAGATGGGACCAAGGTCTCTCCACTGGCCCTACAGGGATGCTGGGCAGCTTGCCCAAATCTCCAACCACAGATGGAGATGTCAGGAGTGGGGACAGTCGGCCCCCCTCACCAGCGGCCGAGTGAGTTACAGGGAGAGAAGTGTGTCGTCCTTCCTCCCCAGTGGCAGAGTATGTTATTTTGATAAGAGACGGTCGGCCTCTCTCCCAGCGACAGTATATTATGCAGGGAGAAGAGACAAACGGTCTTTCTTCCCAGCGGCAGACAGAGTTACAGGGAGTGGAGACGGTCAGTCTCACTCCCCAGTGGCAGTGTGTGTCACAGGTAGAGGAGACGGCAGGACCATCTCCCCAGCAGCAGCATGCATTACAGGGAGAGGAGAGTATCATCCTTTCTCCCAGCGGCAGCAAGAAACACTTTGGGAGGGGACAGTCGGTCTCCCTCCCCAAACACAGGGAAAGATACAAGGAGTGGAGACGGTTGGTCCCACCCACCAGCAGCTGGGGCTGTCATCCAGAGACCAATGTCTCTGCACCAGCCCTACAGAGATGCTGGGCATCCCGCCCAGATCCTCAACTGCGGAATCCCGGCCAAGATAAGGATGTCAGCAGCCGCTCCGCTGACACCTTCCCAGCAGAAGAACTGGTACCTAGACAGAGAGCAGTTGGCCTCTGCCTGCCCCTTTCCCTTTATCCAGAACCTGAGGTTACACAGGCCACCCCAGCTGAAGTGCTGGTTACAGGGCATAGCACAGGGCATAGCACCACTGGCCTCTGCCCACCAGGCACGGATGAAGGAAACTGCGCCCTCCGTCCCCATCAACAACTTGATCCAACCGGGGGGAGTGCATCCAAGTTGTTTATCCGCAGGACACTGGATGTACAAATGGGCACTTGTGGCAGGAGGCTGCATGGACAACTATGCCTTTTAGGAAAGGCCATCAGACTATCACCGACCCAGACAGATTGGAGGCCTGGGATCTGGATAGTCTCCCCGGGAGGGGGAAGATGTGTGACAAACTCACCTTTTCAAGTGAGTTTGCCACAAGTTCCTGGAGGAGCCTGCTTGCCAGCCTCCTGCCCACAGGCTATGGACCCTGTAAAATGTGATGTAAAAGTCTCCGCTCGTGTATTTGGACTATATGGTTTGGGAACCGAACAGCTGCATGAACCGGAGACCACCCTGGAGCTTGTTAAGCCTAATTGCTACTTTGTAAGCAATTTCCACTTCAGTGTTCAGTATATGTCACTGCATAGTAGCTGCAATTACTATGGATGACCATGAGGTGTCGGCCATCTGGTTCGCATGAACGCAGGCAGCAGTGTTTGGTCGTTGAGTTCATGGAATTATTTTCGGATACTAAAACTCCTGAACACCGCTGGACTTCCATGATCACCTGCGTTCGGTTCTAAAACCCTTAGAAAGACACTGTTTGGTGGAAACGTTGCCGCGAACAAGGGGAACAAGCTCCAGGGTAAGATTATTGACTATGTTTGGTAGTTTGTTCGTTTTTAAACTACCAAACTAGACCGACCGCAATCCCTGATTCTCTGGAACTGTTTTGGGCATGGGACCATGTGTGCGATCGGTCAAATTATGACTTCCAGGAAATTCCTGAACGCCTGAACTGATCTGGGTGATTTTTGGATATGTTGGTAACCCAACATGTATGTATTTTGTATGTATTTTTAAGGTACTTTTAGGGTGTTTGGGAAATGTGTGTTTTTTTGTACTTGGAGATAATTGAGTTTAATACAGTGCTTGACTCAATTATCTCCCAGGCACAGGGGAGGGATTGTTTTGTTTTGCTTTGTATAGGAGTGTCCTGGACCTGAAAGCCAATGTAAACATGTGTATGTTTTTACTGTAGTCTACTCTCTGGCCCAGGGGGGAATTCCCCTTGCATAGGGACCTGCACATAAGGCCAGTTGTGGCTGCCATTAAATGCATTCCAGCTTGTTCTCACAGAACTATGTGTTGTCTGGTTACTGGGAGGGGAAATGGCTTTTCTTTAATCACTGTTCCAATGTGGAGGATTCAACAGGGAATGTCCTTGTAAGGACTAGAGCTCCCAGGACTGAGTGTCGTCCAGTGCCTGGGGGTGACTAGAGCAAATTCCCCATTCGGCTCCAGGAGGGAGCGGTTCCAGGAACCCAGTCAAGCCGAGGCATCTGTGGGCAGAAGTGGTGTGGTTGTCCCCTGTTCCAGCTAGGAAATGGTTGTTGGCAGAGGTACCGAGCCAGGGGTACATTCCAAAAACATAATAAAACAGTAGAGGAACGCCACAATTCTTATATCCCTGAATAGCCTGAGTGCACAACATATCCGAAAAGTGCTCAGATTGGTTAGGTGTAACGCGATCGTTATTTGGGAGAAGATTTCACCGGCTGGCCATGAGGTGATGTCCCAAAAGAGTTCCAGAGAATCTAAGGCTGAAGCCGGTCTTGGTTCGGAAGTTCCTGCGCGAACACCGACAAATGCTCCCCCTGGCTCTTAGTTAGTGAATGCTCTCCCTAGTCGGTAGATCATATCTCTCGAACGTGGTTTTTGTAGTTGATTGGGAAAGTATACAGGCAGCAGTACTATCTTGACCGGGGTTCGCGAGAACCTGTAGCCAAAATGAGTTCCACGCACTCGATGACAAAGTACCGCTGCCTGCGTTTGGGAGACAAAATGGCCTGAACCACGTGCGTTTAATTTTATAAACGGCGGCCACCCTTCGAAAGCACTGAAGTATTCCTTAATTGCAGTTAACAGCCGGGGTGGTCGGTGTTCTACGTCAATAACAGGGGGGAATACACAAGTTCTGTTCGGTTCTCGAACAGGGGGTTACAGATCTGTTCACAAGAACTCAATATGGGTTCCGGCAACACCAGGGACTGATGCCAGGTCCGCCACATACCCCAACTGCATAATGACAGGATGGGATTATTAATCAAAAAATAAAAAACAAAAAAAATAATAACTTCTGTGTCAGTGGATGGTTCCACTTATTCGAAAATATTTTCTTTCTAATAAACCCTAATAAATTATCATTAAACACTATGTTTCCTGTCCAATCAAGATATGGAAAAAAAGATGATTGAGAACTGCCATTGTTCACCCTCAACCTTTCCCTGTTAGTCATTACATGGTTTACCTCAAAGGACCACTATAGGCCAGGCCCAGCTAGGTTTAACCCTTTTTGCTGTAAACATAGGAGTTTCAGAGAAACTGCTATGTTTACCTATGGGTTAATCCAGCCTCTAGTTGCTGTCTCATTGACAGCTGCTAGAGGCGCTTCCACGCTTCTCACTGTGATTTTCACAGTCAGAAGACGCCAGCGCCCATAGGAAAGCATTGAGAATGCTTTCCTATGGACTGGCTGAATGCGCGCGCGGCACTTGCCGTGCATGCACATTCAGCCAGGGACGTCAGAAGAGGGAGGAGAGTCCCAGCGCCGAGGGAGCCCGGCGATGGAAAAAAGGTAAGGGATTAACCCCTTCCTCCCCCTTCAGCGCCACGGGAGTGGGACCCTGAGTGTGGGAGCAGCCTCAGGGCACTATAGTGCCAGGAAAACGAGTATGTTTTCCTGGCACTATAGTGGTCCTTTAATGTAAATAGTTGGGATTTTAAAAAATGAATCCAGTTCATATGCAGACCTGTCTGCTCTGCAAAATACAGACAAATAGTGTGAACAATGTCTAAATTTTGACCTGTACAGAACTAACATGGAATCACCAATTTACAGTTTGACAAATCTAGTCATGTGTCTGTAGAAAGAAAAGGGACTGTGTTATTCAGTGAAAGGCGAAAAAATAAAATGTCCTCTTCCCTAGCTTCTGCCACAGTGGCAATCACTGACCAAATCCTAGTCACATTTGGCTTTAGTAAATATGAGAATTGCTAATGCGATTGGAATAAGCAACCTGTGGCAGCCAGAAATAGGCATTTACAGCTAATTCCAGCAGGTATCTGTAACAGATCACCTGGCACCCCCGACTGGGTACCTCCGTTGAAGGATGCTCCTAGCGCTTCCTGAGGACTCCAAGCACTGCAGTAGACACCACAACCACCGAACCAGAGAAGCATATGAATGCTCTCAAGCATATGAATGCTGTAAGCAGCTGAACAGGAAAAGCATACAATCAGCTTACACTCCTGGCAATCAGCATATAATCCAATTCCCCCAATAATGAGACAACACTTCGTTTTGAGGTCAAGCAGATCTGACAGAGCTGTGGGTTTATTGTTCTTATATACACATTAGTACCACCCACAGGGTTTTGGAAAACAACCAATCAATATGTACAATACACTCAGACACACCCACACAAAATCCTCCCCTCTACCTGTGATACAATTACCTTACACAATGGGTAATTATCACAGACAGAGAAATACAGTTTCATAAAACACATCACAGGGACCCCAAAACATGCAATAACCCCATAAACATATCGTAAATTCACCAAGATCCGTTCAGTACTTTGGAAGATACCGTTTAATGCAGATTCCACAGAACATATGCAGGCTATATGAAAAACAATTACTGTATAATGTGTCCCCTGTTGTATAGTCCAAAACCACTGCACGATGTCTCTGTTCACCAAATACCGGCGAGATGGCACCATGTTGAAAAGTCCAAACAGTGTCTGTGAGTTAAAATGGCCGCCATCCATTGTTCTCACCATGTGCTTCATCCATTGTTCTCACCATGTGCCTCTGATACATGAAATGGTGGCCACCCAGTAACTCCACAGTATGTCCCCAGATGGTTCTTAAAGGGCCAGCAGCAGCACAACACAAATCCATTATGCCCAAATCATGTCTTTAAAGGGCAATACATCCCAGGGGCCATAGTCACATGGCAGGAGGCTGGCAATCAGTCTTCTCCAATGCCCAGTGGTGAGGTCGGTTTCCGGTTTCGCCACAGTATCTTTATCAGCAAGAATTTAGTTTCCATTTCAATAGTCATTAGGAAACAGATGTAAATGTATAATAATAATGCACGGTTAAATAGCTAGAATACAGAATTCTTCATTCATTACTTTATATCAAGTAATGTTGACTCATTGCTAACATCCTACATTCTTGATTTTTTTTTTTCTTGCAGAAAGTGATAACTGCCAGAAATGTCCAGATAATGAATGGACGGACCAAAGAAAAGTAACCTGTATTCCCAAAATGTACGATTTCTTATCATATGAAAAGGAAATTATGGGTCCACTTTTTGCTTCCATATCTTCATTATGTTTATTTGTTACAATCGTTGTATTGAGAATCTTTTTTGTATTCCGAAATACCCCTATTGTGAGAGCTAATAACAGGAGCCTTAGCTTTATCCTCCTGGTCTCCATCATACTAAGTTTCCTCTGTGTGTTTTTGTTCCTCGGTAATCCTGTGTATATAACCTGCATGCTGCGTCAGACCTGCTTAGGAGTTACCTTCTCAGTAGCTGTGTCTTCTATACTGGGAAAGACAATCATGGTTTGCATTGCTTTCAAAGCCACAAAACCGGGAAGCTCCTGGAGAAAGTGGGTTGGAGTTAAAGTATCAAGTTATGTAGTCATGATGTGCACCTCTGTCCAAGTTCTGATTAATGTTATTTGGTTGTCTGTTTCTCCCCCTTTCCAGGAGTTTGACATGCACTCTTACCCTACGATTATCATCATTCAATGTAATGAAGGATCAGTTCTTGCTTTCTATTGTGTGTTGGGTTACATGGGAATGATGGCCTCTATGAGTTTTGTTCTGGCTTTCATGGTGAGGACATTACCGGACAGTTTTAATGAAGCCAAATACATCACCTTCAGCATGCTGGTGTTCTGCAGTGTTTGGATTGCAATGATCCCGGCCTATCTGAGCACCAAAGGGAAATACATGGTGGCTGTAGAAATCTTTGCCATATTGGCTTCCAGCGCTGGGATACTGAGCTGTATATATTTCCCCAAATGTTACATTTTGCTAAGAAAACCAGAGATGAATACTAGAAAGCACATATTAGACAGACATAATTCCTAAGAACATTGTATATGGCTTGCATCAATGTTTGATGTTATAAATTCATCATTAATAAATGCAAAGGTTGCTTGGGAAGATTGATGTATTATATAGCCGATTTTGTAATTTTAACTATTTCAGCAATAATGTAGCATCCATTTTTTTAAAATAACTAGTAATTACCATGCATGTGTTTTGTAGAAAAAAAAAAAGAAACATTGGAAATTTTAAAATGTAATGGTCTACTGGGTCCTATTTACCTATCTCACCAAAGTAAAGATAATGGAATCCCCAATCACCTGCTCCATGTGTGTTTTATGGCCAGGTTTTCCACAAGCACCATGACTCTAATAACTTGACATCTCAAAATAAAAGAGGAGATAGTGATGTCCATTAATAGAAAATGTAACGGAGCTCCCTGTACTCCGACCGAGTACCCTCCGTTGATGGATGCTCCTAGCGCTTCCTGAGGACTCCAAGCGCTGCAGCAGACACCTCAACCACCGCAGACTCCGTAACCGCCGTATCTGGACTGGAGTCTCGCCGTCTTCCTTCCACTCTGGATCAGCTTCTGTCCTCCAGGACTGTGTGGGAAATAACTCTTCCTTCCACCCTGTACGAACCTCCAGCATCCAGGACTGTGTGGTGAAGACCCCTCCTCCAAGGAGAGCGTGTCAGGAACAAGCTCTTAAAAGAGCTAAGTGACTCAAGCTCAGGGGAGCATGCAGAGCATAGCAATCCCCAGTGTGATTATAACAGCTCCCTCCAATAACGAGACAAGGCTACGTTTAGAGGGATCAAGAAGAACTGTCAAAACCTTTATTCCCTTGGGACCAGCCAATACAGTCACCACAATAACATTGTTGTGAAACCTCAATAAAATCACAAACAGTCAAACCATATCAAGAAACACACAGTGACGTATCACAACACAATGGCACATTTTTAAAGGGGTGGGGGGAGACAATATTTAACAGTAAATATCTCACCTGCCTGCAGAATTAGCAATATGCAAATCTACCCGAATATGCAAATGAACCAGTCTTGCAATTCAGGTAGTGCATATTGCTGTTGCTACCAACAGAGGGCACTAGACCAGCTCCATAGCCAAACCCACCTAGTTGGTAGCAAACCTCAGCAATACAAGAGAGCAGGCAATACATTACACAGTACACACACACACACTATAAACAATTACATTACACACACCCTGCACCTATAATGGGTACAGGGTGACTAAAACATAGGATAAATAAAGCAGCCCACATAAATAGTCTGTCTGAAGGTAGACTAGGGGCTTTAAAGCCAGATACATGAAAGAGTCATAGTCACAGGGGAGGAGGCTGGCAAGCAGGCCTCTCCAGTACCAAGTGGCGAAGGGCACTTCGTCACAGTAAACATGAGTTATACCTTTGGAGACTGCTTTTGGGGAGTGGGATATTTCCAAAAGCAGAAGATGGGAAGTGAGGGTGTAACTAGAAAAAGAGGATCGTGGTGCTAATTGCTTGTTAGAATTTGTACTACAGTACAGCGTAGGTATTTAATTGTCAAGGGTAAGAGATTAAATTGGAGATTTTAATTATCCAGACATAAATTGGGACAGAGGGACTAGTAGCTCAGCAAAGGGAATTAGGTTTTTGAACTTGTTAAATGACACCTTCATGTCACAACTTGTACAAGCACCAACAAGAAAGGACTCTTGTCTGGACCTGGTTCTAACAAACAACTTTGATCTTTTGACCAACATTCAAGTAGGTGAGCACTTGGGAAATACTGATCATAATATAGTGCCTTTTGAAATAAACTCAAAAAAACAAAAGCACATGGGATATCCTAAAACTTATAATTTTAAAAAGGCCAATTTCTATAAGTTAAGGGCAGCTTTACAATATATTGACTGGCATAAACTCTTTAGTGAAAAGAACACTGAGGATAAATGGAACATATTTCAATAAATATTAGAAAGGCACATTTCTCAGTATGTACCATTGGGTAATACATATAAAATAAACAAATTGAATCCAATGTGGCTTAGTAGAGAAGTAAAACAAGAGATTAAAAATAAGAAAATGGCATTTAAAGCATTTAAATAGGACAAATTGGATGTATCCTATAAAAGATATAAGGAAGCAAATAATGCATGCAAAAAGGCAATTAGATTTGCTAAACTTCAAAATGAAAAAATGATAGCCAAAGAGAGCAAAACCAACACCATAGCATTCTTTAAGTACATACATTCTAAAAAAAACAAAAAATGAAAGTGTAGGTACATTAAAAACTGAAATGGGGGTGTTAGTTAATGAAGACCAGGAAAAGGCAGATATTTTAAATAACTATTTCTCCTATGTATATATTAAGGAAGAACCCATGGCAATAGATGTGCAAATGATTGCTGCTAAAAACTTGCAGAAAAATTGTAATTGGTTAATTCAAGACAAGGTGTTGCAGCAATGAAAGAAAGTTAATATAAACAAAGCTCCAGGCCTGACAGTATTCATCCATGAGTACTTAAGGAACTAAGTGTAGAAATAAGTTGTGGCGAAAGTGACCTCGCCACTGGTTTTTGGAGAGGCCTGCTTGCCAGTCTCTTAACCTGTGACTATGGCCCCTGGGATGTATTGCCCTTTAAGAACACTAATTGAGCATATTGGGACTTGGCACAATGCCCCTTGGACTTTTAACTGTAACAGATTCAAACATGTGGCGGCGGCCATCTTAAATTGTCCAGCAGTGTTTTGTCATCGAGTGTATGGAACTGTTTTGAGCATGGGACCATGTGCACAGTGGGGAAAAATAAGACTTCCAGGAAATTCCTTAACCCCTTAACTGATCTGCGTGATTTTTGGATATGTTGTTCACCCAGATCGGGGCTATCAGGGTATGTGGTGGTATGTTGTATTTTGGGGTACTTTTGGGGGTTTGTAAAAATGTATGTTTTGTTCTGCTTAGAGTTAATTAAGTTAGTCCATTGTCTTTGTTAATTGTATCACAGGCAGAGGGGAGGGTTTGTGTACATCATCTGGGATTGTCTAACTGTACCATACTGTTTTGATTGGCTTTGTGACTTTGTGTCCTGTGCTCCACAAGGTCCACCTGGGTGGTAACCTTGTGGGGAAAACTGTATAAAAAACAATAAACCCTCAGATCTGCTGAATGTCTGTTTTACCCTCAACACAGTGCCTCATCTCATGTGAGGGGGAAAAGGCTGCATCTACACTGGGGATAGACTATAATCATTAAGCTCTTTTAAGAGCTTGTTCCTGCTTCGCTCTCTGAAGGAAGAGAGGTTCACCCACTGGAGCCTGGAGCCTTGTTGTAGGTTCAGGGTGGGTAGGAGACAGAAAGACCCCAACCAAGCTGAGGCAGTTCGTGGGGTCTGCAGTGCTTATGGTGTCTGGTGCAGTGCTGATAGTCTTTGGTAAGTGTGGCGAAACCGGCCTCGCCACGTGTCCTTGGAGAGGGCTGCTTGCCCGCCTCTTGCCTTTGGACTATGGACCAGACTTTATGTGAAGGTATTAACCCAGATAGCTATGCCATGGAGCCCATTCGTGTAGTTAAAGACTTCGGCTCCATGGCAATTGAACTGTGTGAATAGGATCTGAGCACTATTTGGTAGTTTTGTGCTCTCGGATCCCAGCTATCTGGGGATATGTGACATGTCTGTGTTTTATGTATAAAAGGTGACTTTATGTATTTTAAAGTGTTTTCTGTCTTTTTGCAACCATGTGCTTAATGGAGTCTTGTGTCTGTCCTGGGAGATAATTGAATTACTCTCCAGGATAGAAGACTCTGAAACTGGTTTGGGCCGGAAAGCCATGCTTCATTTAGTCACAAAGGACTTTCCCTTAACTTTTGAACCCCTGGTCTGATTCGTGCCATTTTTTAATATGTTGTTCCCCTGAATGGATTGATTATGAAAATGTATGTTTTATGTTTGTGACATTTATATTTTAGGAGTTATAAATATTGTGTAAAAACTGTATTCCTCTGCCGGTGATAATGAGATTACCCATTGTGTTCAGTAATCATATCACATGCAGAGGGGAGGATTTTGTGTGGGAGTGTCTGGGTGTATTGTACGGATTGATTGGTTGTTTTGTAACGCCCTGTGGGCTGTACTATGTTTGTGGATTGGGAATAAAAGAGACTGTATGTGACAGTACAGGGAGTTCCTGCTTAACCCTCAAAGTGAAGTGTCGCCTCATTATTGGGGGAAGGATTTATTGTATGCTGTTCCAGTTTGACTGCTAGGAGAGTAAACCTATTCGTATGGTTCCTATTCAACTGTCTACAGCATTCATATGCTTGAGAGAAGGTATACGCTTCTCTGGTTCGGTGATTGTGGTGTCTGCTGCAGTGCTTGGAGTCCTCAGGAAGCGCTAGGAGCATCCTTTAACGGAGGTACCCAGTCGGGGTGCCAGGCGATCCGTTACATTGGTGGCAGCGGTGGGATGGCGTCCTAGTGCGAGGTAAAGCAGCTCAGAGACACAGTTCGTTTGGATTTACAAATTGAAGGCGACGCTAGTGTTTATACAGCGTCCCTGTCTACATAAAGATTTGGGAAAATGGGGTTCGTGGATCCTTGGGCAACACGCACACCTGAGGAAGAGAGTGAATTGGAATGGAGAGATATTGCCCGGCAAGAACTATGGTACGATGCCCTGGAGGAAGTCCAGTATCAACGGCAGCAGTGCCTTCCTGGTGTCGCATACCAGTTGGAGGAACAAATGGCCTGGCGGATGCCGCTTCTGGGAGACCAACCCGGAGGGCAGCAGGTCAGACAACTTGAGTACCTCGTGGAAAGGGAACTGAGCCTTGAGGCCTCATACCGGGCACTGTGGTGGTGCACTGTCCAGCCAGAGACGTGGAGGGCAGAGGGCATCCAGCCAGAGGGGGAGAACTACACTAGCCCTGGCCTGTTGTGGAAGGCCTTAGCAGAAGACGTCGACTTTGGCAGTCCAGCAGAGTCACGGTACTGGGCTATCTTTTATTACCGGGGTGAGATGGTACAGGGCCCAAGA